CCTATTTAAGGGTCTGTTTGGAAAGCCACAAGGTAATTGAATTTGTCATAGTGTAATTATAAAATTTATTATTTGATTGCACAAATATAATTACACAGTTATATTAAATTTTAAAATAAATTAATTTTCAATACTTAAAAGTTAATATATGCCTATAAATTTTTATAAGTATAAATGATATTATATTTGGTATTTAGGATGTATATTTTTTCGTGAATATACATTAATTAGTAATCATATATTTATAACTAATATTGTGAAAATAATTTTTCTATATTTTTCAAATTAATAATATTTAGTTTAGATACTTACAAAAACTAAAAACATACGTTTTGTAAGAACATCATGGAATTCATGTTTGATAAAATAAATTAATACTTATAAATATAATGTCATAACATTATTCAAATATTTGACAAAATTAATCTATCAATTCTAACTAAAAAATGAACAACATGCAATTTGAGCCAATACTATTAAAACAAGTAAATTGAAACCATGAATATAACACAATTTTAAAATCCAAAAAAAACAAAATGTTTAACGTATGTCAAATTCCAACATAATAATAGTAAGTTCCATTGCAACTTAAGAATTAGGAAACATAATAAGTTTATAACCACATTCAACAACGAAATTTCACTTTAATTGCATCACTCATTATATGTCAAGTTTGTTAATGACTCATTATTTCTAATATTAGGAAGTGTAGTTTTAAAAAATAGAATAATAAAATAAATAATAAATAAAACATAAGCAATTACATGGAATCACAAGAAGTAAAGATAGAGAAATAAAAGATAAATAATGAACAAAGAAAAATATATTTTAAAATTTCAAAAAAAAATAAAAGGTAAAAATAAAATTAAAAAATTAAAAAAAATAGAAAGAAAAGAAAATAAATTAAAATAAAAACAAAAGGAAAGAAACTAAAAAGCAATCTTGTAATTACATAGTGTAATTATCACCAATTCTCACCTCCCCTTGAGAATTGGAGAGTGTAATTACACCCCTCCAATTATACCCAATTTCATGCTCACCAATTAATTACTTGGCCAAACAAACATGTCAAACTGTGTAATTACACCCAAATCCAATTCATAGGTGGTTTTCCAAACAGGCTCTAAATCTATTTGTGACTTTATTTAGTTTTTGTGGCGAGGTTAGTGGGCACAAAAGCTAATAATAAACAAATTAGCTTTTGTGGCGACTTAAGAGATCGTCGCATAATGTTGTCACTAAAAACCTTATTTCCTGTAGTGCTAGCTCATCAACTTCACTCATTAGTGCTATCACAACTTCTTCACCTGCCAAGATATAACTTCATTTGCTAATATACAACCCAAAAGGGAAAAAAACATAGGAAATCATAAACTTAGGGATTAATTTCCAGTGGTTAACATATGCTTTACATATACTTTGTTCTTGACCTCTTTCTCCGTAATTATGGATAATATTCCGGGTCGTTCATAAATATCTATTCCTTATAATAAATAATAAATCTTCATGTATCCAATGGATATTTGAAGTATTGTCTCTTCCTTAAAAATGTCCTCAATATAATAATGATATAAAAATTACTAATTGGATGAAAATCATATTGTCTGCATGTCTCCTATATTTGTTTTTCTCACGCGAGGGCAGATGTATATGGAATAAAATCCAAGATAACGACTATAATAAAATGTGCAAGTGACGGGGACTAGAATAAACATAGATTAAGAATGTTTACAACAACTAAAATAGTGTAATTTTACACTCACTGACTTAAAACAATAGATTCATCTCGAAATCTCCGGAGTCACTCACTCTCTTTCTAACTACAAAATGTGTACATATTCGATGGCGTAAGATATTACACCATGAATGTCTCATGCATTGCCCTGCACCTCAAAACATGGTAATTTCTGGGTCTTTCCTAACAGGAAATTTTGTGGTACCCCAATTTGAATAATACACATTTCAGACACATGTTTTGAGTTTTGATACACACTTAATTGACAATGAAAAATCACTTTACAGTGTAATTTAAGTTACTTTCATTTTTTTCAGGTTAATCAATCCTTATAATATACAGTTACATGTAAGTGCCTTTTAAGGAACCTGGTCTATAAATAATTTAATCATCGAACTTGTCTATTAATTATTCAACAATTTTATGCGCGTACTGAACCAATTCATGTGTATCTCACAGCATCTTGGTAAAAATAGCATGCTTAGTTTATTAGTCATTACAGTTAGATCTTAATTTCCCAATATATATATATATATATATACACACTACATGACATTTCTCGTAATAGAAAGTTTGATATTCTTTTTAAATAAACAAAAGTTACTACATAAGTACACCACCGAGAATGTCACGACCCAATTTCACATATAGGTCATGATGGCGCCCAACACTATAGCTAGGCAAGCCAACTAATAAATTAAACATATATCGATAAAAATTTAAATCCAAAAAAAAAATATAAGACACCAAATTCTACCAATGTGTGTGCCAAGACCTGGTGTCACAAGTGTACGAGCATCTAGTAGATTATACAAAACCTCTAATACTGTCTGAAATAAAAATAGACAGAATGAAAAATACAAGGAGAGACAATAGTAGCTGCAGAACGGCACAGAAAGGCAGCTCACCACTATGCCCCTGGATAACGTGGGTGTAAGACGATAGCCCCCCACTAGTACTTGCCTCAGGTCATGCACAAAAAGTGCAGCAAGTGTAGTATGAGTACGTATACAACGTGTACCCAGTAAGTATCAAGTCTAATCTCGAAGTGGTAGAGACGAGATGGCCGACTTTGACACTCACTATGGGTCAATAATAATGATAAAAGTAAAACTAGAATATCTAAATCAGCATGATTCATAGAATTTACAATAATCTATTTAACCAACAGAAATAATCAAATTCCTTCGATTGCAACAATTCTCAATATATTAACTAAATTCCTTCAATTCAAATAATTTTCAATTTATCAATTAATCTCATTTACACGAATAACCAATAATTCCTTAGCAAGCAGAAATAATAATTCTTTAAATTCCAAAGATCCTCCAATTTATCAATTAGCTTCGCAAGCTGAATAACTATCAAGTATCATGTAATTATTATTATTAAGCACGATTTCTGCCGAGGTCGTACGGCCCGATCCAGAGTTTCGTGTACACTGTCGAGGGACGTGCGGCACGATCCATAGATGCATCTATCATGCCGAGGCGTTCGGCCCGCTCCACAAGAAAGGAGGACATTTTCTTATGTACCTCCGGAATGAGAGTATATTTATTATAAGATAAATTCAAGAGGAAGAACAATTTCTCTTAACAAATTAATTNACACAAGTAATTCACGCTTTGAGTCCTAAACTACCCGAACTTTAGCATTAATAGTAGCTACGCACGGACTATCGTCACCTCGTACGTACGTAGCCCCTACAATTAGCAATAATTATTTAATTTTAATCACCTATGAGGTAATTTTCCCCTCACAAGATTAGACAAGAGACTTACCTCGTCTTGCTCCAATTTAATCCACTAGAAGGCCTTTTCCACGATTATCCAACTCTGTCTGGCTCGAATCTAGCCAAAATAATTCGATACAATCACTAAAAATTATAGGAATCAATTCTATAAGAAAATACTACATTTTTAATAAAAATTCCGAAATTAATTAAAACTTTGTCTGTGGGGCCCACATCTCGGAATCCGGCGAAAATTATGAAATATGAATGCCCACTCAGCCATGAGTCTACCCATACCAAAATCACTAAATTCTGATAACAATTCGGCCCTCAAATCCTCAAATCTATCCAAGAGGATTTTCAAACCTTTCCAACTCAATTCACCAATTAAATGATAAAAATAGTGATGGATTCGGGTAATTTAACCAATATTGAGTTAAGAACACTTACCTCGTTGTTTTCTCTGAAAATCTCTCAAAAATCGCATAAATTCGAGCTCCAAATCGTTAAAAATGGAAAATCTTAAACTCTCTGCCCAGTAATTTCTTCTACGCGATCGCGAACTTCCTCACGCGATCGCGTAGCACAAATTTTTCTGCCCAGAAAATAACTCTACGCGATCGCATCAAGTCCCACGCGATCGCGATGCACAAGGTTCCGACTCTACGCGATCGCATTCCTCTTCACGCGATCGCGTAGCACAAACGCGTGGCCCAGCTTCCTCTCAAGTTTCCCCTACGCAATCGCAAACAATGACACGCGATCGCGATGCACACACTGGCCCAACCTACGTGATCGCGGACGTGTCCACACGATCGCAGAGAACAAATTCCCAGCTGCCCAAATTAAGCCTACGCGATCGCAACCCCATTCACGCGATCGCGTATAAGGAAATCAGAAGAAAATTTCCAGCAGCTATCAGCAATGTTCCAAAAGCCAAAAATGATTCGTTAGCCGTCCGAAACTCACCCGAGCCCCTCAGGACCTCAACCAATTATACCAACAAGTCCTAAAACATCATACGAACTTAATCAGAACCTCAAATCACACCAAACAACGCTAAAATCACGAATCATCCTCCAATTCAAGCTTAATAAAACTTAAGATTTCCAACTTCTACATTCGGTACCGGAACCTATCAAATCAAGTCCGATTGACCTCAAATTTTGCACACAAGTCACAAATGACGTAACGGAGCTATGTAAATTTTTGGAACTGGATTCCGACCCCGATATCAAAAAGTCAACTCCCCGGTCAAACTTCCAAACTTAAATTCTTGTTTTAGCCATTTCAAGCCTAATTTCACTACGGACTTCCAAATAAAATTTTGATCACGCACCTAAGTCCAAAATCACCTTACGGAGCTGTTAGAATCGTCAAAATTCTATTCCGAGGTCGTTTTCTCAAAAATGTTGACCGAAGTTAAACTTGGCATTTTAAAGCCAACATAAGGAACCAAGTGTTCCGATTTCAACCCAAACACTTCCAAATCCCGAACCAACCATCCTCGCAAGTCATAAATCATTAAAAGCACATACGAAAAGTTTTATTTTAGGGAACGGGGTTCTAAAAGTGAAAATGACTGGTTGGGTCATTACACACATTTGATAACATGCTCAAGGGTTAAGTGAACTATGTGCCTCAATGTCTACATGCTTAATACCGGGAACTATTTCCTGGATTTCCTGTTCTAGCCAATCAACTTCACTCCCTAGTGCTGTCACAACTTCTTCACCTGCCAACATATAAATTCCATGAGTTTGTTAACATATATATGGTGTCTAAAATTCTTACCAAAGTCAACAAGAAAAAGAAAAGGAACTCTGGAAATCACAATAAAGCCTTCGGAAATGTTTATACCATAATGTGACATGACTTGCAATATCGCTGCATCATCCTTCTGCTTTGAAGCCTCTCGAAGCTATACATATATCACAAACTGTAAAGATACTAATATTATCATTACAAAGGGGATATCTTGCATTAATCCATGGTTAATAAATTAATAACCTGTTTAGCCCACTCGTGGCGCCCGGCTCTGTCGAGATAATTTTGTACCAGCACCACACCATTGAAATCTGCAATATAAATTTATAGAGATTGATGTTCTAAGAAAGAAGCTGATGAATTAAGGAAGCACCAGATTCAATTAATCACCTATCTCAGCCTTAAACGTAAAGAACCCAGGTCCAATCACCTCACTTTTGCAATCATAAACAGAATCAACAACCTGCAGTGGCAAGAATATTAATTTCAGATACTTTAGTTAATTAAGCAACCAGATTAATTAGGAAATCAAGAAGAGTGATATTTTCCAGAAAAGACAGACGTACTGGATCATTTTCCAAAAACTGAAGAACCTTTTTCATGTCTTTGTCATCAATTGCTCTACCAATTAAAGCATGGCGATTTCTCTGAATCAAGAATACAGCAACCTGCATTTCAAATAAGCCAGAGTTTTTCTTTAGTATACCCAAAAGAAGTGCCAAATAAGTGTATAGGCCGCCGGCTCACATACCATTCCAAGAAGGTTGTCCACAACAATGGAACCAATTGGATCATAAATTGGATTTCCTGTGACATTCACTGCAACCAAGGATGCACCCACAATGACGAGGCCTGCAACTGAAGCACCATCCTACAAATTGAAGTCTGAAGACACCAAATCACGCATCACTAACTACAACTTGACACATACGAGTAGCTAGGAATTAATTATGTCCAATAAAAAACATGTCTTTTACCTCAGTCATAACAGCCACAGCTGTAGGATCATGACCACGCCAAATATACTCTCTCACTTTCATTCCTTCTGCAGCAGCGCCGTTTCTCACAGATTGTATTGCCACTACAAGCGAAACACCTAAATAGACCGCAAACTCAAATTGAGACAAATAACAACTATGAAAAGAATGAACATCTAATTCAGCTACATGCATGCGCTATTTATATTAATGTACCCTCTAAAATTAACGATCCACCAATCACCACAGCTGCGTATTCTAGATGTTCAGGGGGCTGAAGCAAATACATTGAGAAAAATGTTAATTTTTGTTGAAGTGACAACAAAGTGTTCTACAGACAATGAACTGCTTTATTTCAATGATAAATTACTTGAGAAGTCCACAGGTTTTGAAATCCGTTAACAATTGTAGTACCAGAACCAAGGCAAAAGATGCCAACTGCAGATATCAACGACCAGACAAAACGTTCCCTAAAGTAACCATATCTGAAGAAAAGAAAAGATTCATCAATAGGTTCACAAATTCCTATGTTTGATAAATTAATGAGATAACTTGCAAAGTTTTTCCACCATAAAATATATGGTGTAAACCTTTGAAAAGGGACCTTCATCCATTAGGAGGTAACAAACATGATTAAATTTCTCCTAATCTGTTAATATTGTTGTTATGAAGCCCTAGTAACCAAAAAAATAAGATGATGCGAAATGCAGTATGCATGGTATTGATCATTGGAATATTCACCAATTAATGATGATATATATAGAACTTCTTTTTCCATTGCATGGATATATACTGCAGTTACAAGAAGAATTAAGTGTGCTACATAGCCTACATCAATCAACAAGAGAAATGTAGAAATGATGGTGCATAATACGATGTCAAGGTGGTGACACTTACGGATGGGTTGAATCTGGCGCACGTTTAGAGCTATTTAAACCATATGCAAGAAGCACCTACAGGCATAGAAATTACAGTAATTAACAAACTCAATGTTCCTGGTTTGATCAATGAATTATACCAAGTGTACAATTAATACCTGATTTGCAATATCCGCAACTGAATGCAGAGCTTCAGCCAGCATGACGTGACTGGAGGTGGCTAACCAGACCCCAAGCTTTAGGGAAAGAACAAGAAAATTGCACCTTAAAGCTGTTGCGACAGCTCGCTGACTACAAACAAATATTAGGAATGCAAATGAAGGAATATAAATATAGACACTAGGACTTCATTAGATCTTATCTAGAACATTCTCGTGAATATGATAGTTTTTTCTTTCAAACTAACTTTTCAACCATTAAATTTTATATGATATGCGATTCTGGTAAACACCATAGGAAGTGAACACTACCGGAACTATTCAAATAGTTTTCGATCTTTCTAACTTAGCCCATATTAACTCGCATGGAGCATATATGCTTAACTTTTTGGAATTAATTAACGAAAATGGAGGTCAAACTTTACAAATTGGAATAATATTGGGGATGTACGACTAATATAAGCGATACAAAAAGCAAAGGATACGAAGAGGAAATTATAGTATAAACTACAGGCGTTACTTACCCATGATCATCAAAATCAACGGTCTTTATCTTCTTAGATCTAGTGAAGAAACCTGCAAATTAATGTCCTTTATATTAGCTAGTAAAGATGCCAATACTATAAATGGGATGAATTACAGCATTATATTGACGGGAAGAAACTCACCACGACAGAAAAGGAGGTGACAGCTACTACTTTTTCTGGAAACGGACGACAGAAGAATATTGCTGTTTGGTGAAGAATTGACCTGCTGGAATACACCATGGCCTCCAATGAAAGAAAGCGCATTGCCGTGAAATAATCTGTGTTTAAAAGCATTGAAATGAGGTTGAGGATCTTCGTTCTTTATGTCACAATAATAATAATAATAATAATAATAATAATAATAATAATAATAATAATAATAATAATGTTGGGAGAGAAGTGTGTAGAAGGAGCCCGCGGAAAAGCATCGATAACGATGGCGAAGGAAAGAAAGAAAACGAGGGTGAGTAGCCATGACAGAACAAGTGTTACTGCAATTACTGTATCAGAGATAGAGCCAATATTTGATCAAAAGAGGTAAAAGGACACGTACGGATAGACTATCCATTATCAAAGGGCATGTAGAAGCTCAAGTATAAGCAAGGCCAATTACGTACTATTCACGCGGTGAGCGCACTGCGAACTATTCTCTCGCCCGCCTTTTTACTACAAAATACAGTGTGATCCATCGCCGCACATATAATGGCATGCGCCATTTTCGGACGGGTGCCTTGTCCTAATTAAGGCTCTCTATTTGTTGGATTGCTAGTATATATATATATATATGATCATCAGTTTAATAATGTTCGTTTCGGTTCAGTCAGTTTTTAAAGTGTTGACACCCTTAGCTTGCAGTATCAACACAACACTCAAATTCTCTTTCTTCCTTCATTTTCTCGCTTCTTCATCTTTTCGTCTCTAATATGGCTGGGTTTTTTTCTTTGTTAATTCTTGTTTCTGTTTTCATGTGATACAAAGATCAAAATCTCTAATTTTCAAAGTCAATTGGAACATTGACTCCTCAATTTTTTGTCATATATGCATTTAGAAATTATTTTGACAATATTATACATCACATTTTATTTTTATCATAACAACATTTGCAAAATGTTTGAAACTCCGTGGCTCCTAAAACACTGTTACTGATAGTACCATAACAGATGAACTACTAATATCAAACGAACATTTAAGTAGTTGCAGGCAATTGGAAGCCAGCACTCGTGAAACATATACTAATAACAGAGACTTTCTTGCCACTTGTGCCACCAATCTTATGTTCATATCATTCACTTAATAGTAAATTAAATGATACTATATAAAAGCAGGAGTATAAAATAAAAATGATATTTGATGCAATACCTTACTAATTTAAATGCTTTAAACATACTAAAAAAGCAGCCTGGTACATTAAGCTCCCGCTATGCGGTCTAGGGAAGGGCCGGACCACAAGAGTTTATCGTACGCAGTCTTACCCTGCATTTCTGTAAGAGGCTATTTAAACGGCTCGAACCTGTAACCTCCTGATCACATGACAACAACTTTTAACATACTAAGATAATTGAAAATCGTATGTTTTCTTGTTAAAAGCAAAGTTGTACCAACAACAAACCGATACCAAAGTCAAATTAAGAGAAATGAAATTGTTCTAAAAGGACTAATCATTAAACATAAATAAATTAACCAAATAAAGTATGGTATATAATTTTTTTCTAAACGACTTGCTGAGCCTAACCAGTGAAATCTCCAGTACTTCTATGTAACGAAAAAGACGTACTCCCTCTATTCCATTTTCCGTTTTAGTCCATGAATAGCACATTTATATATTTCAAAGACAATTAAGAGTTTTTGGCTAAAATCATCCCTCAACTATGGCTCAAAACTAGAATACATCCTTGTGTAATAATAGTGAACAAAAAATATCCCTTAGCTATCCAAAAAAAAAGCAAGAATCATCTTTCCGTTAATTCCCGTTAAGAAACTAACAGTTGCAACCAAAACATGTGTCAAGCACGTGACTCCCCCCCCCCCAANCAAAAAAAAATCTCACTCCTTCCCGATCATCTCGTCTTCATCCTTCACCAAAGCTTAGGCTTCTAAAACTTGAATTTTAATTTCTTTGAATATAATAAATATTAAAATAATAAATATTTATATTAAACAAAAGACTTACTAGAATTTTGTAAATTCAGTAATATCAGTATAAGTTAATGTAAAAGCTATTGTATATGATATTATCGAATGCTTAAAGATGTGTAATATCAATAATACCATAGTTGGTGTGGATGATTGGCCGTTTAAACTTTGAGCCAACACTTTCCTATTGTTTCTTATGCTTCAACCCACATGATCTGTTGCTTTTAAGAATGAGGAAGATGTTTAGTTTGAGAAATAGAAAAAATATTACTCCATAGAATGGGAAAAGCCAAAACTTTTTCGATGGCTATTGTTGCTTTTATCTTGTTTGTGATGTGTGGGAAGATACATAACTTTGGTCGTAAAATAGTAATTGTCAAGTGGGTTCAAATAAAATATTTATACAAAATTTACACAACTTTAATCCTAATTTATACATATATACAGTATTATTTTTTGATGAAGCGGGTTCAGTTGAACCCGCTAGCCACCATGTGGGTGGAGAATAGCCCTAGCTTCAATTCTTGTTCAAGAAAATAACTTATCTTGTTGCTCTAGTTATTTTATGAAGTTAAACGTAGAATGTATAGCTTTTGAAGCCTTAGTTTCACTGAATATGGAAGAGCGGGATAGCTTCGGGAGGGATAGAATCANGGGGGGGGGAGTCATGTGCTTGGCACATGTTTTGGTTGTAAGAAATTAACAGAAGGAATTCTTGCCATTTTTTGAATAGTTCAGGGATATTTTTTGTTCACTATTATTACACAAGGATATACCCTAGTTTTGAGCCATAGTTGAACGATGATTTTTGCCAAAAACTCAACAATTAACTGAAACTTCTTATTTTACTTTTAATGACATGCTTTTAACATGTTTAAAGCCGCAAACTCCGTGTCCAATCAAATACAGGTATATAAAAATGAGTATCAGATATAACTGAAACACATAGTGTCACAGAGATCGCAAATTCACAAATTCAGATACATATAACTTTACACACGTCAATTCTCAGGGGTAGTACAACACAAACCCAGCCCCAACGTCAAAGAAAAAAACTCAGGAACACAAATGTCATATTTTGTGCCCATTGAAATGAGTTTTTGCTTTCTAAGGGAAAAATTAGGTGCGACTAGCAATTTGCTCATCAAGCCCAAAAATGTGGAGCTGCCGGCAAAAATTGCAATCTCCTATAATACACGCCAGTTTAAGAAGCGAATCTTAAAGTAGCTAAGCTAAGCTACATAAAACTACTGCTCCATGTGGTGCATTTAATAAGCTACAGAATATAGCAATACACCCAGCCAATCTGGAGTTAACAGAGTGCAGATCCTTCTTTTACCTCAGATGCAAGTTTCATGAGGCACTCCACTTGGTCATTGAATCCCATTATAGTTTATCAACAGCTTGATTAATGATTAATGCGAAATCGACCTTCTTTCCTGGTTCGTGATTGCCTATCTGATTCTTGCCGTCCACCTGAACCTCCAGAACTCATAGCATGATCATTCCGGGTAACAATTTTTATGGGGTGGGCTTCTGTGTTAAAAACCCACTCATCTAGGGATATTACTGATGAGGGTGAAAAAAGAAGATAGAGATATTTAAGAGTCTCCGCAAGAAAGAAGCTTTGCATCATATTGTCTTTGACACCAGTGTTGACCTGGGAAAACCCAAAAAAAAAAGCGTTAAAAGAGAGGTCAACAATGATACTGAATATGAAATTAAAACCTTCCCTTCACAACCAAATTTAGTGATATATGTCCCTATTGAACACGAAAAAGCAGTCATACCGACAAATTACAAGCACAAAACCCTGAGTTCTAGAGGTTCCCGACAAACTTTTGACAGCTGCCCATGAAGACCAGTCGACGTGATAAAAGTTGGCAATTATGTATGCTAAAGTTAGTCACAACAACTTAATTATACATTCTCTGAAACTCGACACCTTGTATTTCAAAATCCCTCCACTTCATTTTTATCTTCACAATTTGCTTTATAACTGGAAAGAAACATTGGGCTACGAGGAACGGAGTCAAGTTTTTGCTGTCCCAGGACAAATTTAGCTTCAAATAGGAGAAGATGCAATAGAAATATTGAGAGCATCCATAGAACAAAAAAGGGTAGCTCTGAAGTTGAGCTTCTAGTAGGAGAAGATAAAGATCAGGGGCAGCAATTAAAAAAAGGGGGGGCTCACTAGCCAATGTTGCTCTTTGTGTACAATTATGTAATGGACGGATGGGCTGACAGAGGTACACCTTTTCAAACGTTACATACTTTCATACTTCACTAATTATAGAAGGTTGCTCAATAAATCAAATTGGAGAAACCTACCTGTAATTAGAGTGCTGTAAAACCCAAAAAAGAAAACTGAAGTTTAGAAGCGAGCTGGTGTTTACAAGGTGAAGGAGAGAGAAAACACCAAGTAGGAGCACCAGGTTTTCCATCAAACAATAGCATAAAAATAACATTCATGTATGTATATCCCAATTATCAATATCAAAATCCAAAAAAGAGTGTATTTCATGAGTTTTTTAACAAAGAACACGGGAAATATTATTAAAGATGCAGCATTTGAAGGCATTTAAAGAAAGAAGATAATGGAGGTGTAGGTACTATCCAAAGTTGAAAGAATTGAGTTTGTCCTTACATCTTTAAGTCCAACATATCCAGATTCTATCCTTGAATTCTTTTCAAATGCTTGAAATATGTTCCAACCCCACTCTTGGTATGTCTTGTTTCCTGTTAAACGCCAGAGGTAAAACAGCGACTCAACTGTCTCTGGCCTTAATATATTCCATGATGTGCCCACACTCATATCCTGNGTCCTGAAGAGCATTAAATAGGATGAACAATTCAAATAAGTTATCACCATAAGCAAACAACAAAAACAAACATCACCATGAACTAAAATGAAAAAAACTGACTTGGCCGGCATTAAAAAAATAGTTCTCTCCTGCCAGTTTTGTAGGTGTTGACTGGTAAAAGTTATAGCAAGTCCAAGCAAGCTGCAAGAGAAGGTTAAGATATTCAGCAAAAAAGCAATACTAGAACTTTCTGGCAACAAGAAACAGCACTGCAGTCACTAAAAGCTCCTATGGAATGAACCACTGATCCTCTGGGCCTTCCCATCATGTGAAAGGGAAACCTATAGATGAAAGGCAAGTCAAATCATAGAGGCAAGCACAATCTAAAGACCAACACTCAGCCCCCTAACACATTCATGAGTCACTAACACTTGTTTCTTATCCCACACTTCACCTTTCAGCACCCCCAGCTAACTATAACAGCCAACGAAAGCGAACATCTGGTGGTAGGAGAGCATTGCCCACAGCCCACCATCGCTAATGCTCAAAAGTTGAAATAAAACCTAAAACTTTTTTCGACAGAGACCACTTCTCAAATCAATTAATCAATTAACTAAACATCAAACCTAAACTAGTAAAGAGTTGATTATATGAATTCTCTGTATCCATTATGCTCTACTTAAAACCATTTCATTCCAATAATAAATAAGGGTTCAGTAATACTATCAGGGGTTCACTAAAACTAGATGTTCTCTAAATCTCACACTTATAGTTAAACAATTACACAAAACTTCAACCAAAATAAAAAGGAGTAACAGCAAACATGAGAACTCTATGGATCTTTAATCCCAATTAGTTGGTATTGCTTATATGGATCCTTTCTTGTGTATTGTTTTTAGCTACATCCACATTTAACTCCGAGAAGTATAGGTCTTTTGACGCAATTTTCCTCCATATGACTGTAGATATACCTCTTTCTTATTATCACTTTCAATCAACATAGTGGCACACATACGAATTAGGGCATATGGAGATCATTTCGCAAATAGGAACCTAAAATCACATTCCGCAATGATGCTCTGCAAGTTAAAAATACCTCCTCAGCCAGTGATAAGAACTTCTGAGCCTCATTAGGGCTATAACCAGATGATCCTAAAGCTAACATCCCAGGAGCAAAGCATGCAAGTTCATCCATCTGCAGAAAATCCAAAAGGGTAAATAAAACAAAGTCAAGAATTAACACATCTCAGACTCCCCAAATATGTGTAAATGCCTATACATCACCTTGTCATTTAAAGAACTTCCCATCTTCTCGCAAATATATGCAAAAGACGAAGGAGTCGTTCTCCGAACCAAGCTTAAAAGACCTTTCATTGATGTCTCCCACATTTTCCTGCTTGCAAAATTAGTGGAAGAATTATATTGAGGAACACAGAGGAATGCAAAATTTTGTAAAAGAAACATAAAAAGGTTAAACAAAATCACTTCATATTTTTTCAAGTCTCAGAAAGGCTTTATGCATCAAACATATTTTTTTCTTTTCCACA